GAACGTCTGCGTCATACCGTTGTGCGTCCCTAATCACAAACTCTGGAATGTGCAATGCTCCAATGAGCAGTTCCTTTGACTATCACGTTGGCGCTCAAAAAGGTCTGAAGTTTGGAGCATTTTGGATTTTAACTGTTTGGATTAGGTATACTCAAGTGGTACAGCAAATTGTTGTGCAGGTTTATAGCCTAGGAGCAATAGGCTATACTGTATGGTCTAAGTGTGTGCTCAGCTGGACCATTCTGTTTGTATAAGTGCGCCCTACGATGTTCTCACAGTGACCAAACTGTCTATCAATACATTTCTCACAACACATCCCTGTCATTGAGTGGTGCATGACTATCCTTAGATACTAGGCTTAAAAAACATCCCTACTGAAAAGCAGAGACTGTCAGAATGCATAAAAAGTAAGACTCAATTATATATTTAAAGTACATGTTTTATTTTAAATGGAATAAAGACACAGGTTAGTGTTAAAAGGGCAGAAAAAGATATATCATGCAATCACAACACATAAGAAAACTGGTGTAGTTACTTTAAAGGAAGACAAAGTAGACTTCAAGAAAAAGAGTATTAGGGATAAAGAGGGACATTTCATAATGAAGAAAAGATCATTAAGAAAACATTATGCATCTTAATGTATATGAATCTAGTAACAGAGCTTTACAACACAAAATGCATAATTGAAAGGAATAAGAAAAGAAATAATTCCACAATCACCAGGGACAATTTTAACATCCTTCTCTCGGTACTGATAGCACAAGTCAACAAAAAAAATTAATGAAACATATTTGATCCAAATGACCATCAACCTACTGGACCCATATGGCATTTGTGAAATACTATTTTCAACAACTGCAGACCTCACATTCCTTTCAAGGGCATATGATATATTTACCAAGAGAGACCATATAACAAATTTGAACAAATATCAAAAGACTGAAATCACATAGAACATATGAGTTCTGTTCTGATCAGAATATTCTGTGATCAGATATTAAATTATAAATCAGTATCTATACAATATTTCCAAATATGTGGAAGTTAAACATATTTCTAAATTACCTATAGGGCCAAAGGAGAAATGATGATGAAAATTGCAAAATATTTTTATGTTAATTATAATGAAAACATATCAAAATCTGCAGAATGTTGTTAAGCAGTGCTTATAAAGAAAATTATAAGTTTAAGTGTTTCTATTACAAAGAAAGGCATAAAACTGGTAATCTAGGCTTTGTTCTTAAAAAGCTAGAAGAATAAGCTTAAACCCAAAGCAAGCTGAAGGAAGAAAATGATAAAAGCGGACATCAACTATAAGTAAAGTGCAAAAACAGAAAAATAACAACAAAGTCAAAATGTCGTCATTTGAAAGGTTAATAAAATTGAGAAGCCCTGGCAATACCGACTTTTTTTTAAAAGAGAGAAAACACAAATTATCTATATAAGGAATGAAGGAAGAGTCAATACTGCAGATGCTGCTGGCATTAAAAGGACATTAACAATTTTATACCAATAAGTCTGACAACTTAGATGAAATCAACAATTCATTTTAAATATACAGGTTTCAAAACAATAAAAAATAAAATCACAGACGAAACAGACAAATGGAATAGTCCTATGTCTAGTAAATAAATGGAATCCCAAAGGACACTTCAGACCTAGATGGCTTCATCGATAAATTCTATTAAAAATTTAAGAAAGAAATAACACCAGTCCTACACAAACTTTTTCTGAAAACAAGAGATAAAGAAAACCTCCATACTCATTTTATGAGGTCAGCACAACCCTGTACCACACCTGACAAATATATTACAAGAGAATTACGGAGCAATATCCCTCATTAATATAGATGCAAAAATACTAGCAAAGCAAATCCAGTAATATGTAAAAAGGGTAAGATATCATGAACTCAAATTAGATTTAGCCCAGAAATACAAGGTTGGTTTAACATTGAAAAACAATCAATCAATGTAATTCACAGTAACAGAATTAAAAAAGTATGATGTCATTGAATGCAGAAAACATATTTGACAAAATGCTACACCCCTCATTGAAGAAACTCTTGGTAAACTAGAAACAGAAAGAAACATTTTCATTATGTTATAGAGTATCTATGAAAAACCTAGACAGCTAGCATCATCTTTGAATGATGAAGCATTGAGCCCATTTCCTGTAAGATCAAGAATGAGGAAATAATGTTCATTTCCAGCACATCTATTAATAAAACTGTGCAATGAGGCAAGAAATAGAAAATAAAAGTCATAGGGATTTCTCTGAAACTGTCATTATTCACAGATTAAATGATTATGTACATGAAAACTCCATGGAATCTATCAAGATCCCTCTAAGACTAATGAGTGAATGTAGAAAAGTCATACTATGGTCAATTTAAGAAAGAAATTTCTATACAAGGTCGATTTAAGAAAGAAGTGTATTTCTATGTACCTGTGACAAATAGTTGGAAAATAAATTTTAAATAGTATCAAACAATCAAATATCTAGGCATATGTCCAACAAAAGATGGCAGCATCTATGTACTACACAGAACAGGGATTCTGAGTGGGGCGTAAAAGAGAAATCTGCACCATCTTTTGGTCTTTTCTTCTTAAATCTACAACCATTACAAAATAAAATATTTTAAGGAAGACTTTTGGGGTAGAAAAAAGGAAATTTTACATATGAAACTATAAAGTGATATTATGATTTTATATTTTAATACTTTTTTATATTTTGTTATGATTTTATTTATTTTATTATATGATATATTAAATGGTATTACGGAATTACTGCTAATGGAATATGATAGTGGTATCAGGGAATGAAGAACGATCCTTCTAACAAGAACCTGCTGAAATACTTATGGGGAAAGTGTCATGATGGTTCAGAAAAAAATATACACATCTACTACATATATATAATACATACATACACATTTATACATACAAATAATACACATACACACAGAGCAAACGTGTGAGCAGAAGCAGGCACTATCTAAAGAAAATTTGGCCCAGTGTTAACACCTGGTGAATCACAGGGGACCTGCCTTCATTGTATTAGTCTTTTCAACTTGTGATGGTTTAAAATTTTTCAAAATAAAAATATAAAAAAATAGTATTCCTTCTATTCTTTTAACAAAAAATTATCTCCTCAGAAATATGACAAAAGCTTATCTTAGCAGAATTTTACCGTTTTTTTCTTCTAGAGGAAGTACACAACACTGGAATATTTCATTTCATATTGCAAAAATCCTTTCCCCCAAATTCTTTAGCCTAAAATTTCAGCAAATGGAAACAATAAAACATTCATAGTGAACCGTTTTTTAAATGAATGTCCTGCTGAAGCCCAGAATTGGAGTCTAAATTGCTACTTAGAAAAATGACACATTCTAAGTAGGTCAGAATAAGCTAATTCTTCTTATTATTATTCTCTTTCCTTTCTAAAATGGAAACTATTCTTCCCTAAGCAATTCACTTACTTAATGTATCCTGCCAGTATAAGAATGGAAAATGCTATATACTGAAGCAGAGAAAGAATCAAACTAACATCAACACAAAAAACACATTACTGGCCAGATGGCTTTACTAGAAAGTTCTTTAACACATTAAAATGTAGAGGAAAGGTCAAGATGACTGATGCCCAAATCTCACAAAGGTAGCAATAAAATAGAATATTACAAACTACTCTCATTTATAAACATAAGCTTCTAGCAAAAGCCTAGCACATAATAATCCAAAAATAAATGAACCTATTCAACCAATACTTTCTGCTTTGTCCTAAGCATGAATGATTACAAATGCAAAAATCAAAAATAAAAATGCTGGTGAATAAAGACTGCAAATAATTCACAGATAAGATTTTGTAAATATAAAGAATCTAAATATACAGTTAATGGAACTGGTCATAGAGTTTAGTAGGGTTGCTGAAAACAAAATGAGTACACAAAAACCTATTGCAGTCTATATATTGACAATAAACAGAAAATGCAATTTTTAATAACATACCATTTATAATATCAGCACAAATACGAAGTACTGGGAATAAATCTAACATAAGATAGGAAATATCTTTATGAGGAAAATCATAAGGAATATATTAAAGGGGACCTAAATAAATAGAAGACTATAGATTCACTGCAATTACAATCTAAATCCCAGCACAGTTGCTTTTATGGAAACTGACAAGCTGACTCTCAATTCACTCTAAATTCACATGGCAGTGCCTAAGACCAAGAATACAAAAGACATAAGCGTAAAAGAAAAATTAGGTCTGGGGCCCTGTACTACCAGATATCAATAGTTACCATAAAGCTATAATAATTAACCTACTGGTATCAGAAATGAAGACACAGATGAATTACCCAAATCTACTTAATAAAGGCAATAAACAAGTAAGAGAATGGGATAATATAGAAATATCACTTTTGCACAAAATACATTGTATACTTAAGAAAAGCCAAGAAAGTCGATGAAAAAAACATTAGAACAGTAGGAGTGTACTCTCTGGGACCCTGCAGGGTGCCACAGAAAGTACTCATTGCAACCTGATGACTCAGGAAAGACCTTCTAGAAGAACTGAGAGCACAGCTGAAATCAGAAGAATAAGTAAGAGTTAGCCAGGTGCAGAGAAGGAGGATGAGTTTTCTAAGCAGAGAGAACAAAAGCAAAGGCTCAGAGCTAAGAGACAACGTGGCACAACAGAAACTACAGGTAATGCAAAAATTAGGGCACAGAATTGAAGATGCATCATCAACAACTAGTAGTAAATGAGAGCTAGAACCTAAGAGGCTTGGGGCCATGTTAAGGTGTTTGGCTTTACCCTGAAGGCACTTAGTGGGGGGGTTCTTGAAAACGTTTATTTATATTTTAATGGCCTTTTATTATATCACTTTCTCTTGGCAATATGAAACAATCCAAGGAATTTTAAAATTCATGGCTATAAAAGACTATGTTTCATGGTACAGTAAACTTTGATATTGTCAATGAAAGAGAGGCACTTAATTGTTATGAAAACTTTTTTTATTGCATTTTAGGTTTTGGGGTACATGTGCAGAACATGCAAGATAGTTGCATAGGTACACACGTGGCAGTGTGATTTGCTGTCTTCCTCCCCTTCACCCACATCTGGCATTTCTCCCCATGCTATCCCTCCCCAGCTCCCCCTACCCGCTGTCCCTCCCCTATTTCCCCCAATAGACCCCTTTTGCTTGTTACTGCTCTAGGAGCTGGTCAGTGGGCACATGATCATGTTTGTTTTAGGAAGATAACTTTGTGGACCATATGAAGAGGCTGAAGGAGGAGAAATAATTCCAGTTAGACAAAGGAGAGCTAATGGGGGTCTAGAAAAATGCAGTGGCAGTAAAATGGAGTGAAGCCATTAATTTCATTCACTGTAATATACCATACTCTGTGGATGCAAGAGACCAGACAAGTTCCTACCCTCAAGGAGTTAATTTTTTAATTATTATTTTTTAACTTATATTTTAGATTCAGGGGTACATATGCAGGTTTGTTATATAGATAAAATACATGCCTTGGGGGTTTGGTGTCAGATTATTTTGTCACCCAGGACATAAGTATGGTACCCGACAGGCAGTTTTTCAATCATCACCCTCCTCCCTCCCATCCTCCACCCGCTCAAGTAGGCTCAGTGTCTATTGTTCACTCCTTTGTGTACATTTGTACTCAATATTTAGCTCTTACTTGTAAGTGAGAACATGTGGTGTTAGTTTTCTGATCCTTATTAATTTGCTCCAACTCCATCCATGGCCTCCAGCTCTATCCATGTTGCTGCAAAGGGCATGATCTCTTTTTTTATGGCTGAAAAGTATTCCATAATGTATATGTACCACATTTTCTTTTATCCAGTCTACCACTGATGGGTATTTAGCAACCTAAATACCTAAAAACTCAATGTCTTTGCTATTAATATTTTGAATAGTGCTGTGATGAATCTATGTGTGCATGTCTATGGTAGAATGATTTATTTTCCTTTGGGTATATACCCAATAATGGGACTGCTGGGTCAAATGGTAGCTCGGTTTTAAGTTCTTTGAGAAATCACCAAACTGCTTTCTACAGTAGCTGAACTAATTTACACTGCCACCAACAGGGTATATGCATTCCCTGTTCTCTGCAACCTTACCAGCATGTTATTTTTTGAATAATAGCCATTCTATTAAATTTTTTAAAGTAATAACCATTCTAACTGTCATAAGATCGTCTCTCATGCGGTTTTGATTTGCATTTTTTGAATGATTAGTGATGTTGAGCACTCTTCACATTTGTCGGTTGCATGTATGTTTTCTTTTGAAGTGTCCGTTCATGTCCTTGGCTTACTTTTTAATGAGGTTGTTCATTTTTTGCTTGTTCCTTATAGATTCTGGATGTTACACCTTTGTCAGTGCAGAGTTTGCAAATATTTCTCTCATTCTATGGGTTGTCTGTTTACTCTTGATAGTTTATTTTGCTGTGTAAAATTTCTTTAGTTTAATTAAGTCTCATTTGTCAATTTTTGTTTTTGTTGTAATTGCTTTTGTGTCTTTGTCATGAAATCTTTGCTGGGCCCTATGTCCAGAATGGTATTTCCTCGGTTTTCTTCAACAGTTTTTATAGCCTTAGGTTTTACATTTAAGTTTTTTTTTTTTTTTTTTTTTTTTTTTTTGAGATGGAGTTTTGCTCTTGTTACCCAGGCTGGAGTGCAATGGCACGATCTCGGCTCACTACAACCTCCACCTCCTGGGTTCAGGCAATTCTCCTGCCTCAGCCTCCTGAGTAGCTGGAATTACAGGCACGCGCCACCATGCCCAGCTAACTTTTTGTATTTTTAGTAGAGACGGGGTTTCACCATGTTGACCAGGATGGTCTCGATCTCTTGACCTCGTGATCCACCCGCCTCGGCCTCCCAGAGTGCTGGGATTACAGGCGTGAGCCACCGCACCCAGCCTACATTTAAGTTTTTAATCCATCTTGAGTTAACTTTTGTATATGGTGTAAGGAAGGAGTCTAGTTTCAATCTTGTAGAATTTTAAACAAGCAGGTGATATGATCAAATAAGTTCTTTAGAAAGAACTTTTTAAAATTTATTATTCTCATTTTTTGAGATGGGGTCTCACTCTGTCTGGAGTATAGAGGCATAATAATGATGGCTCACAGCAGCTTCGACCTCCTGGGCTCAAGGTATCCTCCCACCTGAGCCTCTCAAGTAGCTAGAACTACAGGTGTGTACCATCATGCCCAACTGATTTTTTAATTTTTATTTTTGTGGAGACAGGATCTCACTATGTTGCCCAGGCTGGTCTCAAACTCTGAGCTCAAGTGATTCTCCCACCTTGGCTTCCTAAAATGCTGGGATTATAGGCATAAGCCACTGTACCTGGCCCTTAGAAAGAACATATTTTTAAAACAGTGTCAGGTAAGGGAGGAGAAGAGAAATGGAGAAGGAAAGATGGAGTCAGGTAGATGAGCTAAAAGCTGTGCTAGTATTCTGGGTGGGAGATGACAGTGGCAACACAATGACTGTGGCAACACAACTGGGAAATGACAGTGGCCACACAACTGAGGCAACACAATGTGAAAACACAGAAGCAGAAACCGAAGCATCAGGATGGAGAAGAGTTGAGGAAGAGTTCTCCTGCACTGAGGCTAAGCCATTCTCTAAGATAAGCAGGTTTTGGGTGAGACCAATGATGACCTCAGGCTTGGACTTGCTGAATGAGGCATACAGATGAAAATGTCCACTGCTTTTCTAATTAGAAAAGATCATTAGCAACTTACCTGTTTTTGTCAAATGATGTTCTAGCCAAACGAGACTGCAAAATAGCTGTTATCTATAAAAACAGAACCAGAAAAAAGTATGAATGTATTTATGAGTGAAATATTGATACAAGTTAACTGACAATCAAAGACACACGTTGTAAGGAACACTTACCATGGCGGTTTGATCACCCAGTTTGTCAAGGCAGGATGCTCTGTGAAGCTACAATACCATAAACAGACATGAATTTATTTTTTCTCTCAGATGATATGAAGTATTTCTTTAGAAGCAATGAAAAACAGCAATCATTCTGTTACTTAACAGTCAAGATAACTTCTGATATACCTATGGCTTCTTCTTAACATACAGTTTTCAACGTCAACATTTCAAGTAAATCTGCTACATATTTAGAAAACAGATGATGATTTGGGTAAGATATGTCAATATGAAATTCATAAAAACAGTTTCTGCCTCAGTTTGCTTTGAATTTTCTACCCAGCAAGTGCTTACCTGAAGCAGCGTCTCCACAACATCTTCCACTTTCCCAGGAACATCCAATTCAAAAACATATTCCATTTTGCCCTAACAAAAAGGGAAAGATATCAAAATACGCTACTTTAAGAATGTGCCTACAGAACCTGCTATAATGAAATATGTATGTTTTACCTAGTGTAGCTTCCCCCGGAAGACAGTTGTAGGGGAGCCAATCTATATAATTTGTGGCTCTATTTATTATTAGTTATTATGTCCTTCTTTCTGCTAACTTTGGGTTTAGTTTGCTCTTCTTTTCCTCCTCTAAACTCTTAAGGTAAAGAGTCAGAATTTTTTATTTTTTTGAGACAGAGTCTTGTTCTGTCGCCCCAGCTGGAATGCAGTGGCACCATCTTGGCTCACTGCAACTCTGTCTCTCAAGTTCAAGTGATTCTCCTGCCTCAGCCTCCCAAGCAGCTGGGTTACAGGCATGTGCCACGACATCCGGCTAATTTGGGGACTTTTAGTAGAGACAGAGGTTCACCATGTTGGCCAGACTGGTCTCAAACTCCTGACCTCAGGGGATCGGTCTGCCTTGGCCTCCCAAAGTGCTGAGATTACAGGTGTGAGCCACCAAGCCCGGCCTAAAATTAGGATTTTTATTTGAGATAGTTCTTCTTTTTTAAGGAAGACATTTCTATAAACTTCCCTGTTCATACTGCTTTTGCTGCATGGCCTAAGTTTTGATATATTATGCTTTCATTTGTTCCCAGATTTTCTAATTTCTCTTTTGTTTAATTTTTGTTGTTGTTGTTGCTGTTGTTGACCCTTGGGTTGTTTGAGAGAATGTTGTTTAATTTTCACATATTTGTTTATTTCCCAGTTTTCCTTCTGCTGTTGATTTCTAGTTTCATTCCATTATGATTAGAAAAATATACACTTGTGACTTTAATCCTCTTAAGTTTGTTAAGACTTGTTTTGTGACCTCACATGTGATCTGTCCTGGAGAATATTCCATGTATTTGAGAGGAACGTGTATTCTGCTGCTGTTGGGTAGAATGCTCTGCCCGTCTGCTAGGAACAGGGTCTACTGTGTTATGCAAGGCCTCTGTTTCCTTACTGATGTCCTATCTGGATATTCTACCCATTGTCGAAAGTGTGGTATTGAAATCTCCTACCATTATTGTGTTGCTATCTATTTCTCTCTTCAGTTCCATCAATGTTCACTTCATATATTTAGATGTTTTGAGGTTGGTTTTATATATATAGGGTGACAGTTAATTTTATATGTCAGCTTGATTGGGACACAGAGTGTCCAAATATTTGGTCATACATGATTCCTGGGTACATCTGTGAGGGTATTTCTGGATGAGATTAGCATTTGAATTAAGAGACTAAGTAAGACAGATTTCCCTCCCCAATGTGGGTGGGCCTCATCCAATCCATTGAGGGCCTAAATTGAATAAAAGGCTAAATAGGAAAAACATTCTTTCCTCCTGTCTTCCAGCTGGACATTGGTTTTCTCCTGCTTTCAGATTTGGATTCACTCAGAGTAGACCCTATACCACTGGCTCTCATCTGAGTCTGGATTTCTTGACCTCTATAATCATACGATTCAATACCTTATAATAAATCAATTTCTCCCTCTGTATATATACAGATATCCAGACATATAGCCCTATATGGTTGTATATGTGTATATATGTATATGTATGCATGTGTATATATGTATATATGTGTGTGTGTGAATGTATGTACACATACATCCTATTGGTTGGCTCTGTTTCTCTGGAAAACCCTGACTAATACATACATTTGTAATTATTTATCTTTCTGGTAAATTGACACTCTTATCATTATATAATATCCTTCTTTGTCTCTTGTGACAGTTTTTTGTTTAAAGCCTATTTTATCTGATATAAGTATGGCCAGCTCTGTTCTCTCCTAGTTACCAACCAAGCATGGAATACGTTTTCCCATCCTTTCACTTTCAGCCTATGTGTGTCCTTAAACCAAAAATGAGTCTCTTGCAGGTGGCATATAGTTTTAAATCTTATTCGTTTTAATTCGTTCAAGCACTCCATATTTTTTGATTGGGAGTTTGATACATTCAAAGTAATCATTGATAGGGAAGGACTTACTATTGCTTTCAATTGTTTTCTGTCTGTCTTGTAGCTCATTTATCCTCTTTTCTCCTCTATCTTCCTTTGTGTTAAGTTTATATTTCATGTTGACATAGTTTGATTCCTTCCTCATTTTCTTTTGTGTATCTTCTTTTTTAAAATGTATTTTGAATTTTTGTGGTACAGATGGTTTTTGGTTATATGAATAAGTTCTCTGAGACTTTGGTATACTTGCCATCCAAGCGGTGTACACTGTACCCAATATGGAGTCTTTTATCCCTCACCACCCCAACACTTCCCCCATAAGCCCCCAAAGTCCATTATATAATTCTTATGCCTCTACATCCTCATATCTTAGCTCCCATGTACAAGTGAGAACATACGATATCTGGTTTTCCATTCCTAAATTATTAAACTTAGAATAATGGGCTTTAGCTCCATCCAAGTTGTGCAAAGGCAAATATTTCATTTTGTTTTATGAATGAGTAGTATTCTATGGTAGATATATGACATTTTCTTTATCCACTTGTTGGCTGATGGGCATTTAAGTTGGTTTCATATTTTTGCAATTGCAAACTGTACTGCTATAAATATGTGGGTACATGTGTCTTGTTCATATAATGGCTTCTTTTTCTTTGGGTAGATACCTGGCAGTGGGATTGCTAGATTGAAAGGTAGTTCTACTTTTACTTATTTAAGGAATCTCCATACTGTTTCTATAGTGGTTGTATATATACAGTGGTTTACATTCCAACCAGCAGTGTAAAAGTGTTCCCTTTTCACCAAATCCATGCCAACATCTATTATTTTTTGACTTTTTAATTATGGCCATTCTCGCTAAGTAAAGTGGTATCTCAATGTGGTTTTAATTTGCATGTCTTTGATAATTAGTAATCGTGAGCATTTTTTCATATGTTTGTTAATTGTTTGTGCATCTTCTTTTGAGAATTGTCTATTCATGCTCTTTGCCCACTTTTTGATGGGCTTATTTATTTTTTGCTTGCTGATTTATTTTAGGTTCCTTGTAGATTCTGGATATTAGCCCTTTGTCATATGTGGGTTGTGAAAATTTTCTCCCACTCATAAAGCAAAATGAAATAATGGCCTTTGCACAACCTGGATGGAGCTAAAGGCCATGGTGTCTAGATGTCTGCTCTACCACAGGTCCTTTGAAGCAGGAGCATGCTACTCAGCCCCCTTTTGTTTTCAGTGGCTCCAGGCATCTAGAGAATGCAGGGTTCTATCTGTACTCTGAGACAGAGACAGAAGCCAGTCCCTTGGGCGGTTCTCCCCAAAAGTTAGTACTTTGGATGTATAGTCCAATTTTCTCTTTCCCTCTCTAGGGAGAAGCTAAAAGCTGGGAAATTTCTTCCCAATCATGCGGTGCAGTGTGGGATAGTGCCAGATACTGACACACATTTTTATACCAGCTTTGATGTGGTTAGTTTCATGTTCACCTGGGGACAGGATCCTCTTAATTGGTTTCTAGATTTCTCATAAATAGAATTAATCCATATGTTGTTGAATCAGTGTCTTCAAAGGAGGAAGGAGGGCCTAGAACTTCCTATTTTGCCATCTTGCTACTGTGACTCCACCTCACCCTTTTTTTTGAGATGGAGTTTCGCTGTTGTTACCCAGACTGGAGTGCAATGGCACAATCTAGGCTCACCGCAACCTCCGCCTTCTGGGTTCAAGCAATTCTCCTGCCTCAGCCTCCTGAGTAGCTGGGATTACAGGCACGTGCCACCATGCCCAGCTCATTTTTGTATTTTTAGTAGAGACGGGGTTTCACCTTGTTGACCAGGATGGTCTTGATCTCTTGACCGCATGATCCCCCCGCCTCAGCCTCCCAAAGTGCTGGGATTATAGGCGTGAGCCACTGTGCCCGGCCTTTTTTTTTTTTTTTTTTTTAAATCTGAGAAGGCTTTGGTATTCTAATTCACATGGGAACAAAAGAGCTTTTCTTTACTCAGACAACCTCACTTTTATTTCCTTTCACATAATTTTTCAGTGAATCATGTGCAGCCATGAAATTCAGCTTGTTCTCAGGAGAGCCTTTAGAGGCAGAGCACCCCAGGTAAGTGGTTCTCAACTTGGGGTGAGGGTTTTCTACTGCCCCAGAGGCTTTTGTCAATATGTGAAGGTGCTGTAACCACAAGGGGAGCAGTGTACAAGAGGCACTTGTTAGGTGGAAAGAGCTGTAATATAAGTGACAGCCCCACACAATAAAGAACCATCCTGCCCCAAATGCCAAGAGCAGCACTTGAGAATAATGAAATCTCAGTATTTATAATTTCTGACTAATTAGCACATGCAAGTATTTCTTGTCCATAAAACCCAGAGGTCACTGACTATACAATTTGTGCTGCCTAAGAGGCTGCACACTGGCCTGAAACTGAGACTCAGATTCAGCCTGTGGGACTGTGTTTGCCCAGAAGGGGTGGCTTTTCCTAATTCACAGAGGGGTCAATATAAGGAGCACTAGCCCTACCTTAGGTCCTGTAAACACTCTTGTTTACTAGGAGTTATCCCTCTACTATATATTAAGCTAAAGCATAAAGAATTAGAGCACAGAACAGTTAAATGAAATGTCTATGCTTACTTCAAAAGCCCTGGGGAACAAGACACTGTATTCAAGTTTACTCATAGTTTCTGCCTAATTAAGAGTACTTATAAATTATTACTGAGTTCTCAAATAAGAGTATTTTATAACCAGTAAATATTTCTAGAATATTTTTAAAACTAAATTTTTCAGCTGGGCGCAGTGACTCACACCTGTAATCCCAGCACTTTGGGAGACCGAGGTGGGCGGATCACGAGGTCAAGAGTTCGAGACCATCCTGGTCAACATGGAGAAACCCTATCTCTTCTAAAAAATATAGCCGGGCATGGTGTTGCATGCCTGTAATCCCAGCTACTCAGGAGGCTGAGGCAGGAGAATTGCCTGAACCCAGGAGGTGGAGGTTGCAGTGAGCTGAGATCTCACCACTGCACTCCAGCCTGGACAACAGAGTGAAACTCTGTCTCAAAAGAAAAGAAAAACCAACTAAATTTTTCAGTAATGTACTGGTAAATAAATTATCAGTAACACCCAGTAAACAATCTTATAAATAATGCATATTTTGATTTTAATTTCTAACCTAATCATTTGAGTGTTTTTTTTTAATTAGGCACTTTTTTTTTTAAGTCAAAAGTTAATTGAATTCTCTTGAACTAAAATCTGTGGCTGCCTTGGGTAATTTTGTTATAACTTCCAGGTAAGAAGCTTTTAAATACTCATTATTATTATATTGGATTAAAGATGTTAAGAGAGTCACAAAATCTTATTGCTCAAAATGACTATAAAAATTGCCGGAAATACATGAAAAGCTTTACTTACCCTTTCTATTTTATATGGTGCAACAACATTGTGTTCTTTAATGAAATATACCTGAGCAAGAAAAATCAATACTTGTAAAATAATAACCAAAATGTTTCATTATAAAGAGTAACTAAAAATTAGGATATTATAAAGCAAACGTTTAAAAAATAAATAAAATAAAGCAAATGTTTTAAATCATTGTTAAATAATATCTATTTCCAAAATTATTTGCTTTAGTATTAGTATTAATACTAAATTAATACTAATTTAGTATAATACATAATACTAATATATAAATACTAAATTAGCATTAATTTAATATTAATTATATATAATATAATTAAATATATTTTAAAGCCATACTAGAGGCTATAAATATATAATACATATTAGTATAATACTAATTTAGTATTAGTATTATACTAAATAATAGTATAATATTATTATACTATTATTATAGTCTTCAAATAACAAAGATCAAATTAAAAAGAGAATTATCCAAGCAACAAGACAGCAACAATTACAAGATAAATAAATATCTAAGATGTTTTATGAATGTCATCACTTGTACCAAGTAATCAAGTAGACACGGAGGGAGGCTAATCCATGTGCTGATTTTTTAAGAAACAAGTAAAACAAAGTTACTGTGGTACGAAATATGCTCACTAACATAAAGAAACTTTAGAGGTAATCTGGGCACGTGGTGTTTTCACAGGCACTGGGCCACCTGTCCTCACGTAGCATATTAATAACTATGTGGAAAGCGACACCATCCACCAGAGCCATCAATCTCCTTGTACCTGTACCTTCACCACTGCTTTTCCTCCTGCAACAATGAAAGCTGCCCACACTCTCAAAGTCCAGCCCGTCTACTAGGGCACAGAATGTGGGCACCTCCCAAAACCTGTCAGATATTCAAAAACTTTGCTCCTAGGATTATACACTGTACTCTCTTCCTTTTACACACACCGCCCCCAACACACACACTTCCCCTTAATCTCACATCCTCTTTTCGTCATTTCTGTTCCTTTCTGTGGCGAAATTCTCTGCAAGAGCTGTCTGTCCCTTTCCTTGGGCCCATGACAGGTTTTCATCCCTACAATTTAAACCACTTTCAGATGGTCACATGAAATGTACAAGATCTCCACGTCACCCTACAGTCAATGCTCAAGTCTTCCTTGACTCTCCTTCTCAGAGCATGTGACAGAACTGATGGCTCTTCCTGAAGCAGTTTTCCACATGGCTTCCTGGACACCCGCTCCTGCTTCTCTTCAACCTCACTGGCTACTTCTTCCAACTACTTTTGGATCCCGCTTTCTTCCCAACCTCTTAAGTTAGAGAGCTGCAGAGCCTTAGTCCTCATACCTCTCTGTCCACCCTCAGTCCCCAGGAAATCTTATCCAGCCGCAGGGCTTTAAAAAGTCTCTAGAAACTGTCAACTCCCCAGTATTTCTTGCTAGCCTCTGCTTCCTCTCTGAAACCCAGATGGATGCATCCAAATGCCTGCTAGACGTCCCCTTAGAGGTCTCGGGGCCATCTCAGATCTCACATTCTACATGAAGCCTGCTCCTTCCCAACTCTCTTCCCCTTCCCATTTGCCTCTTTGGGATACTCTGCTCTGTCGCATGAGAGGATTTCAGTCAAGTTCTGAAGTCAGAAAGTCTGTGCATCTTTGTTCCCACAGTTTTTCTTACCCCTTACTTGATCCCAGAACAGTTCTTCTCTGAATACGTCAGCACCCCAAAGGAACAAGAGCTCTGCAGAGAGTCAAGGCAACATCTGCCAACCCCTTTATTTTCAAGACGAAGAAGGTGAAGTCCAGAGCCAAAAGAAAGTGGAAAATATCTAGCTCCTTCTTATTTACAAATTTTTTAATCTACATACTAATTAATAATATAACAGGAGAAAAAGCATGTTTTAATTGACCTGTTATTGCCAATGCTGTTCTGTGTGCCTATCTTGAGTGCAGCGGTGGGTACATAAATGTAAAGAGAACAAATCTGGAATGAACAAAAGATTATGACTGCAAGAGTCATAATGATACAAGACCACCAGTCCCAAGTCATTGCCTTGATTGTCCTGAGTCCGCAAGATAATATAAGTGCATAACTCTAGCCTCTCGCCTTCTAAACAGCTAGGAAGCTACAGGGAGAGCTGCGTTCCTTCATTTCAAACCTCGTAAATGGTAAATCATAGAACTCCAAGGACAAAACCACAAGCCCACAGATACCACACACTTAATAAACATTGAGAAGCCCATTAGGGATCACATCCTTTAAAAAGCATATTTCCCAATGACTGAGTTCTAAAAGCATTTGAATTCTAGTCCATGGTCTTCATCTGATAGTTCTACAGATAAATAATTTCATTCATGCATATATATATATATATATATATATATATATGAATGTCCATTCAGATAAGGAAAAAATATTTATTTATTACATGCTTACCTGACTGAAAATGAGTGAAATCCCCCCAGATTTTGCCCTAAAATGCAGAAAAAAGTCATTAAATATATACATCTTTTTGGATTGAAGTAAAATTAAGCAGTGGTGAAAATGACATACTTTGTGAAGTGTCTATTGGCTCCATTTTCTCCATGCTTTCCTATTGTTATACAGTCTCTCAAAGGAATCTGGATAAAATTGAGAGAAACATTATAAAAATCAAGAAAGGTAAGAAATACACAAAAAATAAGGATGTCTCTGTTCATATTTAAAATGTATTTACCTTGATGATGGGCTGGGATATTGCATCTGGTTCAAAAATCACTGATTTTGAACATATTTTTAAGGAGCCTCTGATTTTCCTAGGGATCCAAGTACAACAGATTATTTGATGAGCATAACGAAAATCACAAGAGAATCATAGTACATTTTAACTAGAAAGCAGGTTACTAATGCATCAAATAAAGATTGGCCGGGCGCAGTGGCTCATGCCTGTAATCCCAGCACTTTGGGAGGCGAGGCGAGCGGATCACGAAGTCAAGAAATAGAGACCATCCTGGTCAACATGGTGAAACCCTGTCTCTACTAAAAATACAAAAATTAGCTAGGCATGGTGGCATGCGCCGTGAGCCCAGCTACTCGGGAGGCTGAGGCAGGAGAAATGCCTGAACCCCGGAGGCGGAGTTTGCAGTGAGCCAAGATCGCACCACTGCACTCTAGCCTGGGCAACAAGAGCGAAATTCTGTCTCAAAAAGAAAAAAAAAAAAAAAGATCAACAATGCAAATAAAGAGAACCTCTCTATTTATAGATTAACTGGTAAAACACTGAATAGTTGCTCATATTGGCATTTATAATTCAAATGTTAGAGTTTTAAATTTAACTTCTTTGTATCTCCATATAGTTCACAGAGTCTACTGGTTGGAAAATTAATGTATCCAAGAAACATCACATTGAGAAACAGTGTTATAGGCTGAGAATGCCTACACTCACCCCACCCCAGAGTAACGCTGCCTATTGTTTTGTGGGCAGCAAATATTTACTTTAGCTTTCTATGGGCAGTGCTCAATATACATGTACTGAATAGATGAGAAGGCCCATGCTACTGAAGGTCATGATTTAGTTTGCAATTCTTTCTCAAGGGTTTTTGACATTTTATATCATATCATCTTTCCAAGTTGTTAACTGCATTTACTTTTCTAATACTCAAAATTACCCAATAGTAACTTTAAAACTTTTATGAAGTTTCTAAACATACACAAATAGAATAGAAAACTCCTATGTACCAATGGCCCAGCTCTGCAAGTTACTATGTGGTCATTCTTGTCTTGTGTAAAACCTCCGGGACCATGCTGAACAACACAGAAAATTATTGATACCATATACTTCATCCATAAATATTTTAGCAAAATCCTTTAAAGACAGGCTCTCTTCATAAGTGACCGATCACAAACACACCCTAAAAAAGTCGTAATTCCTTAATGTCATCATGTATACAGTCAATGTTCCAATTTTTCTATTTCATAAATGTGTTTTCATAGTCAGCTGGCTCAAATCAAAATCCTAGCAAAGTCCATTTTACATTTAGCTAACATATCTTTTACATTTCTTAATCTAAAATAATTTTCTCACATTATGAATTTTGCTGAGTACATCTCTGTGGCATTCTTCTAACTTAGGTATTGCCTCTAAATTACTTATAACATTAAAAGGCCTGACCAGATTCTGGTTGGATCTTCTGACAAGAATACTTTCAGAGGTGCTGCACAGGTACTGCCTTCGCATCCAGAGGCATTGGGAGGATCAGCTGATGTCAATCTCCATACATCCAATACAAAATTTTCCAGCAGCTTCTCTCACCTACAGGTTTTAGCATCCATGGAAAACTACTCTCTAGATCAAGGGTTGGCAAACTCTATGTAAAGAGCCAGATAGTAAATATTTTTGCTTTGTGGCCCACATTCAGTATGTACACAAATGGGTATGGTTGTGTTCTAGTAAAACTTTACAAGAACAGGTGGCAGCTCAGACAGGGCCCAAGGGCTGTAGTTTGCCAAGCCCTACTGTGAACCCATTCTTTTATTAGGCATTGAAATTTCATCATTCCTTCCACTTTATGAGATAGAATTTGTCAACAAAGAACAACTTTACTTATCAGCAATTTGGCTACCCTGAAGTACAAGTTGTACAAGGAAAATAACAAAAATGCTTGATTCTTTACCTTTATTTATCAAGTGCCACAAAAATGAGTTGCTGTCCTCCTATCCTTTGAGGGTAACTGATTAAGATTATACACACACACACACACACACACACACACCCCTTATAAAATTATGTACTCATAAATTTTAACATTTATGAAACATTTCAATCTACTGTAGTGGTTATTATTTTTTCATGCTTACGTTGTCCCATTTTTATCCCAATGTTTGCCTCCTCTAATTGGCCCTGTGTCCTTTTAATTCATTTACAAGTAGTCTTTGATACCTTCCTTACTTGCCAGTATGACAGGATGTCCCAGGTTCATCTCACAGATTTCCTGCCTCTGACTAAGAATCAGCCATTTCTCCAAAGAACCCTCAAGCTTTCAGTGGGAAGTGGTATTAACAGACCATATTCTTTTTTTTTTTTTATTGAGACGGAGTTTCGCTGTTGTTACCAGACTGGAGTGCGATGGCACAATCTCGGCTCACCGCAACCTCCGCCTTCTGAGTTCAAGCAATTCTCCTGACTCAGCTTCCCGAGTAGCTGGGACTACAGGAGCGCACCACCATGCCCAGCTAATTTTTGTATTTTGAGTAGAGACTGGGTTTCACCTTGTTGACCAGGATGGTCTCGATCTTTTGACCTCGTGATCCACCCGCCTCGGACTCCCAAAGTGCTGGGATTATAGGCGTGAGCCACCGTGCCTGGCCAAGAGACCATATTCTTGGTGCTGATTGCTACTGAGTTATTTCTAAAGATGGAGGCAAGAAATACTGTCATTTAAAGAGAAAAGCAACACAAAGGTGCCCACTCTCACCACTTCTATTCAACATAGGACTGGAAATCCTAGCCAAAGTAATTTGGCAAGTAAAAGAAAGAAAAGGCATCCAAATTGAAAAAGTTAAACGGGGAGAGGACTCAAGATGGCGCTGTGAGAACAATCCAGGATTGGAGCTCTCGTTGAATTCGCAAAGAGGTGAGTCGGAGTTGCATTTCCAGACTGATCTTTGTTGCCCACAGAACGGGGAAACTCCCAAGTATAAAAAAGACACGGGACGCCAGGCAGTAGGTCTGCCTGGCGAAGCCGGCAACCGGGGCAGCGGCGGCCGGCCCTGCCCAGCAATCACCACAGGGCGCGCTTGTCCAGGTGCCCTGTTGAACCGGCAACCTGAGACTTGAGAGGGCTGGACTTGAGACTGAACGAGACTTGGACAGTAGGCAAGCCCATGGGAGTGCAGGGACAGAGCGTTCGGGGTACCCAGTGGGACAAACAAAACCGCGATTTCAAACTATCCCGAGCAGACGGTCCGAGACGCTCTGTGGGGGAGGGGCATCCACCTCTACCGAGGCAACCCGTCCCAACTGAGATACACGCCCACTGCTGACACAGCCTCCCGTTGCCGAGGCAACCCGTCCCTACTGAGATACACGCCCACTGCTGACGCAGCCTCCCGTTGCCAAGGCAACCCGTCCCTACTGAGATACACGCCCACTGCTGACGCAGCCTGCCGTTGCCGAGGCAACATGCTACAACGAAGAGACTCCACTGCAAGGCGTGGCAGAGACCACAGCAGAGCCTGCAGGAACAGGGTGAATCACACAACAGCAGGGCGGAGACTCGGCAGGCAAACAGTGGCTAGTCTGCCTCCTAGCTGGGCAGGACACCTCAACGGACATCGAAAAATAAAGCCCGAACCCCCCAACACAGAGCATTAGAGAAAAAAAGGGTTTTTTTAATGAGCTCTGTTGCAGCAGAATCAAACATAGCAGCCTAACAGCCCTGAATGAACAACAGAGCTCACAGCTCAGAAATTGAGCTCCTAAAAAGAACAGACTGTCTCCTCAAGCAGCTCCCTGACCCCTCTATATCCAAAAGACTGACATTTGGCAGGCATCATCCTGGGACAAAGATAGCAGAAAAAGAAACGGGTAGCATCCCTCACTGTGCCACAGCTGCTAGAGGTGCACCCCAGACAAGCAAACCTGGAGTGGACCTCAGCAGTCGTACAGCGAAGGGGTTAGGCTGGTAGAAGGAAAACCAAGTAACAGAAATACTTCATCATCAACAATCTGGGTGTCCACTCAGAGACCCAATCGAAAAATCAGCAACTACGCAGACGACAAGCGGATAAACCCACAAAGATGGGAAGAAACCAGCGAAAAAAGGAGGAAAACACCCGAAACCAGAACACCTCGCCTCCTAGAAAGGACCAAAACTCCTCACCAGCAAGGGAACAAAGCTGGACGGAGAATGACTGTGACGAAATGACGGAATTAGACTTCAGAAGGTGGATAATGAGAAACTTTTGTGAGCTAAAAGAACATGTTTTAAATCAATGCAAAGAAACTAAGGAACTTAAAAAAAGATATGAGGAAATGATAACAAGAATGGATAACTTAGAGAGGAATATGAATGAATTAAAGTAGCTGAAAAACACAATACGAGAACTTCGCGAAGCATGCACAAGTTTCAATAGCCGAATTGACCAAGCAGAAGAAAGAATATCTGAAGTCGAAGACCAACTCAATGAAATTAAATGAGAAACCAAGATTAGAGAAAAAAGCGCAAAAAGGAATGAACAAAGTCTCCAAGAAATGTGGGACTATGTGAAAAGACCTAACCTACGTTTGATAGGTGTACCAGAAGGGGACGAAGAGAATGAATCCAAGCTGGAAAATACTCTTCAGGACGTCATCCAGGAAAACTTCCCCCACCTAGCAAGACAGGCCAACACTCAATTGCAGGAAATTCAGAGAACACCACAAAGATATTCCGCAAGAAGAGCAACCCCAAGGCACATAATCGTCAGATTCAATAGGGTTGAAATAAAGGAGAGAATACTAAGGGCAGCCAGAGAGAAAGGTCGGGTCACCCACAAAGGGAAGCCCATCAGACTCACAGCAGATCTCTCGGCAGAAACACTACAAGCCAGAAGAGAGTGGGGGCCAATATTCAACATTCTTAAAGAAAAGAACTTTGAACCCAGAATTTCATATCCAGCCAAACTGAGCTTCAGAAGTGAAGGAAAAATAAAATCCTTTGCGAACAAGCAAGTACTCAGAGATTTTGTCACCACCAGGCCTGCTTTACAAGAGCTCCTAAAAGAGGCACTACACATAGAAAGGAACAACCAGTACCAGCCATTCCAAAATCACACT